GCAGATCACCTGAGGTTAGGAGTTCGGGACTAGCCTGGCCAACACAGCAAAACCCCATCTGTAATAAAAATATAAAAATTAGGTGGGCGTGGTGGCAGACACCTGTAATCCCAGCTTCTTGGGAGGCTGAGGCAGGAGATTGAACTCAGGAGGTGGAGGCTACAATGAGCCGAGATTGCTCCACTGCACTCCATCCAGCCTGGGCAACAGAATGAGGCCTTATAAAATTACTTAGGTTTTTTTATTTCTTGAAGTTTTATGTCTTATAGAGATATTATTGCCTGAAGCATTATTATTTTATGATCTTTCCAGTAGTGGAAGAATCTGTTTGCTGATTTTGCTGTGTCTTTTTTGTGATGGCTCTCTTTTATTGTGTGTGGTATCCTTGAATTTGTTTTTTTTTTTTTTTTTTTTGACTTGAGTAGTGCATTTCGGAAAGCTGTTGGATTCTTTGAGACCTTTGTTGAAGTCATTTTCTTTCACAGAGGATTTGCCTGTGCTTTCTCCAGTTGCCTGGCTAGAGATTAAGAATCCTTTAAATATGGGATTTATTGGATCTCATATGAAATTTATTGGATCATGCAAGAAGTGTGAATTTAGTTTGAGAACCTTGTGAAGGCCACTTTGTGGTTACAGTTGCAGGAGAATTGATAAAACATTTTACAAATGACAACATTTTAGAGATGGAATACAGATTAATGGTTGCCAGGAATTAGGAATGGTGGGAGTGCCCAGGATCGGGGGGTCAGTGTGACTATAAAGGTGTTACAGGAAGAAGATCTTTGTGGTGCCTCTTTGCTGTTAACATGAAGATGTACCTCTTGAGAGCACCAACTTTATAAAAGTGTTTTCTTATGTTAGACTCCTTAAAATCTCATTTCCTAAGCCTTGAGCAGCCATCAAAATGTAAGCTCAGTTTTACCAACATTTGGCATATACTCTCAGGATGAGAGCTGGTTTTTCTGTTTGCTTACTCTTTCCTAAGGTTTCTCCCTTCATTTATTTATAGTTTATATGTATATTGTACTTTCTTGCTAACTAAACACTTAAACAGATTTCTTTTCCTCTAAGTTTTAAAGTTAGATATGAATATCAAGATATCCAGCTTTACATACTGCTGGAAAGCAATGTCCCTATCAAACTACAATTTAGTCTTATAAAGCAGTGGTCCCCAGCCTTTTTGGCACCAGGGACCAGTTACGTGGAATATAATTTTTCCATGGGTGAGGGCGGGGCTGTGATTTCCAGATGAAACTGTTGCATCTTAGATCACCAGGCATTCGATTCTCCTAAGGATCACTCAGCCTAGATCTCTCACATGTGCAGTTCACAATAGGGTTAGCAGTCCTATGAGAATCTAATGCCACTGCTGACCTGACAGGAGGCAGAGCTCAGGAGGTAATGTGAGCAGTGGGGAGCAGCTGTTAATACAGATGAAGCTTTGCTTGTTTGCCTGTGGCCTCAGAGTTTGGAGACCCCTGTTATAAAATATGGCTATTTTATGCCTCAGTTCTCTTATATTCTTGTTATTATAATGGTAATTTTTCCTTATTTCTTTGGTTTATCATCAATCTTGTATAGGCTATCACAGTCTACTCCTCTTTATGTTTTTTAGTCTTGTTTCCTGCCATTCTTTTGTTAGCCATATTATGACTTAGTAAAGACATCATGTATTATGGCAACAGTTCTTTTATTCATATCCTTTTGTTTAAATGCTATCTGTTCATTTGGGCTTGTACTGGTATTTCTAGCACTGTTGACATTTTAGGCTGAATAATTGATTTTTGGGGGGACGGGTCTTGTCCTATTGTATATTTAGATATGTTTAGGGATGGTATGTTTAGGTATGTTAAGCTGCATTTTTGGCCACTACTCACCAGATGCGAGTAATATTTCTCATTTGGGATAACCTAAAGTTTTTCCAGACGTTGCCAAATGTCCCCTGGGGGCAGTATCTTCTATAGTTGACAACTACTGTTATATTCCTATATGATTTTGGCCTGAGACAGAGCCCTTTCTGATTATCCCTGCCTGATGTGACTTTTTAGCTGCTGGATTTTCTGTAGTATACATAGTCTGGATTGTACATTTATCTTTTATTACATTTTCTTGTGAATTCCTTTCTTTTTCTTCCTCGCTCCTTCCTTCCCTCCATCCATCCCTCCTTCCTTCCTTTTGTCCTTCTCTTCCTCCCTCCTTCCTTTTCTTTGTCTTTTTTTTTTTTTTTTTTTTTTTGAGACAGGATCTCACTCTGTCACTCAGGCAGAGCTCACTGCAGCCTCAACCTTCCCGCCTCAAGCGATCCTCCAACCTCAGCCGCCTGGGTAGCTGGGGCCACAGGCACACACTACCATGCCTAGCTAATTTTTTGTTTTAGAATAGACCAGGTTTCACCATGTTGCCCATTGGTCTTATACCGGACTCAAGCAATCTGCCTATCTTGGCCTCCCAAAGTGCTGGGATTAGAGTTGTGAGCCATTGTTCCCAGGCTTTGTTGTGAATTTCTAACAGGCTTTCTTTCTAGAGGACTGGCTATCTATTTCACTTTTTTTGTTTGTTTACTATTTTGGCCAACTCCATGCACTTGTTAGTAGCTTTGAATATATTTTCCTTTTCTTCTACTTCTTGTATGGTGATAATGGGGGGTTTTGGAAAGCAAATCACTCTAGGAAATATGGAAAACTTTGAAGCATTCTAAATTATGAGACTTAATAATTATGGACTTTCAGACAATAGAATTAATGCCAATATAACAATTGTGTATATACCCAGTAATAACTGGAAAATTCAGGACAATTGAAGATAGTTTTAAAAATATAAGAAAGATGTAAGTTCTGTTAGACGTATTTGTTATACAAGTACCAGAAAAATGTATAGTAAGGTAGAACTTTTAAAAATAGACTGAGAAATACAGAAAGTGGAAGGATTTGTAGAAGCATGAAGGACGAATGATTAGTTCCACAGAGTGAGATGAGCAAAGTAATCAATATGTCGGGGTAAATTGTTAGGAATGATGGATGTAGCATCTGGTTAGGAGTGACTTGTACAAAACTGACAAATGTGATATGTGAATGCTAGTAAGTTGAATACAAGTTGAGCACAGAGAAGTTGACTTCTTACTACTGCCTAAAGAGAAACATCTATATTTGGCCCCAGTTGGTAAAGATACAGCTCAGGTATAGATGCCTCATGCCATTTTTTAAATCAGTGAATTCTAGATAATAAAATAAATTGAAGCCTGAGATCTAACCACTTTTCTAAGGTTGCTGCTTCTTCATCTATGCCAAAGTTTTTGTGAAAAATAATAAGCATAGTATATATTCATTGTAGAAAAACTAGAAATTAATGAAATATATGGATAAAGTAAAATTTAGTTACAATTCCCTAAAGCAGAGCAAAATCACTAGTATCATTTTAGTTGATTTTATTTTCTTAAGTTTTATATGGTCTCAGTCTCTCTAGATATAGCTATACGATGGGCATATATGTGTGTATAGATATATGTTAGTATATGTATTTGTATTTATGTATATTTATATGAAATGGGTTATTGTATGTGAAATATTTTATATTGTGTTTTTTAATTCTGTGAACAATTCTCCATATCAGTAAAATTCTTAAAAGTGATATTTAGTGAATACATCAAATTCTATTCTTAGATTATCCCTAAATTTATCTAATCATTCTCCTATTTTTAAATTATTGTTTTCCCTTGTTTTCATTACTATAAATATAATTTGCAGTGAATTTCTTTAGTGAAAATCTTTTAGTACCTCTTTTATTTTCTTTGAAGAGTTGTACTGTTTACTGCAGCCTGCCTCTATTAATTCAACTCACAAAATTTATTCTGTCTGTCTTCCTTAGTTACAAAAGATTCTCAGTTTTATAGTGGAGTGTATTGACAATGTTACAGACTATATTGCCTAGCCTTCCAAGTGGTTAAGTGTGACCAAAGGGCTAGGTTTATGGTTTATGAGATATAAGGTGGAATATTATGTGAAAGAAGGGAAGAGAAAGGACTTTTCTTCTCCTTTCAGACATCTTCTTGATGCCTGCAATGTAGGTGTATTAGCTGGAATTCTCATAGCCTTCTTGGAACATAAGGTGACTTTGAATAGAAATAGTATACGGTAGAGCAAAAAGGTGGAAGGCAGTTGGGCCCTCTGTAGTTGGAGCTCCACATCAGCCTGTGAGTTTCTACTTTTGGACATTTACATGGGAGAAATAAATTTGTCTCCTCCCTCCTTTTTTCCCCTCTTTTTGTTATTATTTGATTATTATTTTTATTGATTTGGCAGGGATGTGACCTAATTCTAGCTGGTAAAGGATAACATTATTTAAAGCCTCTGTATGATAATGTAGCAGGTCAGATATAAGGCGACATGTATTTTTGTCATGGCAGAATCTAGAGCTGTATTGAAAACTGAAATTGGTATTGAGACTGGAGAAAGATTAATTGATATTGAAAGGAAAAACAATTAACTTTTGATATTTGTTTTTTGATATTAAAACAAAAAACATTTTAACACTTAAAATGATATAGAAAATACATTTCTGGAACTATTTGATAATATATTGCTGAATTTTGTTCTCAAATGCTGTTAATATTTATAACAAATATTTCAGAAAACACTTGATAGCTTTTAGGCGAAAAATAAAACATTGAGGACTATATGTTGTATCAGAATCCCATCCCTATGAATTTTTAATATTTTAAAATATAGCTAGTTACTTTGATGAGGTCAGTTCATAAATGTAGCTTTTGTTTTGTTTTGAGACAGGGACTTGCATAGTTTCTCAGGCTGGAGTGCAGTGACATGATCATGGCTCATTGCAGCCTTGATCTTCCTGGACTGAAGTCATCCTCCTCAGCCTCATGAGTAGCTGGTACCACAGGCACATGCTACCATACCAGGCTAGTTAAAAACTTTTTTTTTTTTTTTTTTTTAATAGATGGGATCTCTCTGTGTTGCCCAGGCTGGTCTTGAACTCCTGGGCTCAAGTGATCCTCCTTCCTTGTTCTCTGAAAGTGTTGGGATTACAGGTGTGAGCCGCCATGTCTGGCTAAATTTAGCTTTTAATGCTCTCATATTAACTTGTTGAAAACATTTTGATATATGAAATTTTTAAAAAACATTTTTTGACTAGACACTGTTTAATATTAATTCTAAGAAAGTTAATTATAACAAGTCAAATAAGTGAAGAATACACATTTGAAAAAAATTAATATTTGTTGAGCAGTTTTAGGTTTATAGAAAAATGGAGCAAAAAGTACAAAGAATTCCCATATACCCAGTCTCCCAAGGATACCCATTTTTATCTAGGATATTTCACTATACATATTATACACAGAAAAATGACTCTACATCTGTTAACCAAATATGTATTATTTTGTAATAGGAAAACCATGCATGTTACTTTAATTCAGGGTTTCCTACCCTCATCACTACTAACATTTTAGGCTAGATAATTCCTTGTTGTAGGAGCCATCATGTGCATTGTAGGATGTTTAGCAGCATCCCTGACCTGCACCCACTAGACGTCAGTAACTCTCCCTAGTCATGACATGAAAAATGCCTCCACACATTGCCAAATGTCCCTTGAGAAACAAAGTCACCCTTGGTTGAAAACCATTGCTTTAACAATATAGGTGTTTTAGAATTTTCTGTATTTTTCAGCTTTGGTCTAAATTTAAGGGCTCTATAGTTCAGTGAATCTTCACACTGAGGATCATATAGGCAAAATTTGGATCCTTCTGTCCACTTGGGCACTGTGGGCAGTATATGTATAATTTTACTGGGCCTCAGTTTCCTTCACTGCAAAATAGGTAAAATGTTACCTAACTTGAAAAATTGTTGTGAAAATTCACCAAATTATATAAAATACTTTGATTAATTAATTAGTAAATTAACAGATTAGTTATTTTCCTTCTCTTCAAATGTAGTATATTGTTTTAGTCCCTGCAGTGTGTCAAAAACCTATCACAGTGTTATTATTTATATGGGAAAGGCTGTCATAATTTGGGATCTACTGTTTATGGATATAAAGAATGCTATACTATGAAGAACGCTATACTCTGGGTAGATAAAAACTTTTTAAAATGAAGGCTGATTTATGAGGTCAGTTATGTTTTGATCCTTTGTGGTACCCTAATTAGATTGTAACTACATTCAGATTGTTAACTACATTCAGATTGTAACAGTTAAGTGATCTCATTGTGTTCTTTGAAAGACTTTGAGCTTCCCAGATTGAAGATAGCATTAAATGTCAGCCAATCACTTTGTCCTTTGAAGTTTTTGTCTTTCACATCTGAAATCCCGCCAATTGTAACAGCTTGTGTGTCAGCTCCAATAGAGAAAGTTGGATACGGTCAAGTTGAAGTTAGTCCACTAAAGACTTCTAAAAACTTGACATAGTTTATGATTAATAATGTCGACTTCCCATTATTTTTAGAATTATAAAACATTGTCCCTGATGAAAGAAATGCTATCTATAATAATTCAGACTATTCTTATTGTTCTCCTGCAGAAAATTTCTAAAGATTTGGTGAAGATAGGAAAACTGTCAAAAAGCCTGTAGCATTATTATACTGTAGGTATTTCTTTGAAAAAGAAGTATAAGTTAAGAATATCTTAAGTGTCCAGTTGTTTGGGGGAAAATATTTTAGAGAAAGATATATAAAATATCGAGGAGGTTGTATTATAATCATATTAATAATGTATGAGAACTAATTCTATGCAGTCTTTTAAACATTGCATATGTATTCATATGTACTGAGATGAGGATTTTACCAATAGCATTGAAAAATATTTCTGATTCTAACAAGGATTGATCTAGCTTATGTACATTGGTTTATTTAAAATTATCAAAATCTAGAAAATTATTGTAGCTTTGTAGGTTGTGATATGTTTCGGGTGACTTATTGTTTAGGTTATTTTGCAGAATTATTTATTTGCTGATTTATTTATGTATTTCATTATTTATTTATTTGATTATTTAGTAAATTATTTATCTGATGAATTATTAATACATCTTCATGACATCCTTTAAATTATTTATAACTTAATTTTGAGTTTATTGCTTTTAGACGCTGCATTGTTACTGACTAGTTTTGATTTTTTTCTTGTGGTTCTTGAAAATTAAAAGTATCAGCTCTAAGGCAAAAGTATATTCATTGCAGTGCTCATGGATTTTTAAAAAAATTTATGGTAGAGATGAATTTCAGCTTTGTTTAGCTTTAAATTTACCTATTTAGAGTTACCAGTGATAGAATGTTTGTGCGTTATGTGCATACTCATTTTAGAGTCACTTACAAATTAATGATATAGCCTATCATTTGTAAACAGTGATTGAACATGTAAACCTCAGTCTGCATTACCCTTTGGGTCTTTAAAGGACAGATCTGCATTTCTTACTTGCTTTAGAATAAATAAGTCTTGGTTATTTTATTTTAATGGCAATCTGTTTTACTACTGGAATATTTTTAGAAAGTTCAGAGAAATGAAGTCCAACTTAGATTTGGATTCCTGACAAATAAATTTGACTGCTGTAGTCTTTGTTTTTTTTAATCCCCCTTATATATGTATTTGGGAAACATCTGGATTACTATATAAATCTTTCTATGTAAATTTCATATATCAGTCATAATGACATATATTTCTTAAGGAAATTTTTATATCATTTTAATGTATGAAAATGAAGAGGTTTATAAGTGCAAGTTACAGTTTCTTTGACTTAGCATCATTTCTTCTGATTCTGTTTCATAACGTAGAGCAGTTATTAGGGCTCTCTTATTGAATGGGTTTAATGGATAGGTTAAAGTAGTCATTTGGGTGAGTGCTATGTGCACAACATGGTCTTTATTTTGTGTTTGCTTGCAGTGAATTACTATGTACTTTATAGTTTTCACACTTCAGAGAGAAACTGCATTGTACATTTCAAGTTGAGATGCTGTTGAAATATAGTGAAAATGGCCTCTGTAGACAGGTTTCAGTATAAAATTGTAAATTATGCATACATATATCCAAATTTCTTATTTTGAAATATTGAATATATGAATATTTAATTGGAATGTTGCTTTAGTATCTTCATATGCTTGCCTTAAAGGAAGTGTTTTCCTTTGATTTATATACATGGATTTAGAAATGTGTATATCATGCATATCTGTGTCTTTTCTGTTCTGGAGATGAATAACCACAGATAATATCAGGTATGGCATTTTCTTTTTAAATGTGCCTCAGTATGCCAATATGGTCTTCTTTTGAAAAAAATAAAAATAAAAAAGCTTCCTTCTCCAATATTGAATAAGATCTGTATTAACTGTCATGATAATCTACCCAGCCCTATTATTAACATATGTTTGGGGAGTGCTAGCTATGTCATCCAAGTGATTTTTCCTTGGAAGATGCACAGATGTGTGCACACACACATGTACGTCATGTGAAATTTTCTTATGACATGAAAATAACTTTTTCATATTTGTTTTTGAAAACATATTAATGTAGACTTTTATAATAATAACTAGCATTCCTGATTTCTTATGTGAAGATACAGAGCTCATATCTTTTACATGAATTATTTGTTGATCTTCACAGTGATATAAGTACTGTTCGTTTTTGAGTTGATTCATGTAGTCCGACTCAAGGGCTTTTCTTTGTAGCTCATTATAGTTTTGTATGCATAGATAGCACAATGTAGTATTTAGCCAAAGTTGTTTTACTTTTTTTTTTTTTTTTTAGAGAATACTAGTATTTGGCCGGGCGCGATGGCTCACGCCTGTAATCCCAGCACTTTGGGAGCCCGAGGTGGGTGGATCACGAGGTCAAGAGACCGAGACCATCCTGGTCAACATGGTGAAACCCTGTCTCTACTAAAAATACAAAAAATTAGCTGGGCATGGTGGTGCGTGCCTGTAATCCCAGCTACTCAGGAGGCTGAGGCAGGAGAATTGCCTGAACCCAGGAGGCGGAGGTTGCGATGAGCCGAGATCACGCCATTGCACTCCAGCCTGGGTAACAAGAGCGAAACTCCGTCTCAAAAAAAAAAAAAAAAAAAAAGAGAATACTAGTATTTGTAAACATTTAACTTGCAAAGTATTTCATTTTGTATAACATTTAATCATCTTTCTTAAACAGCAGACAAGTACTTGAGCCTCTTGAATTTTCTGATTTAATTCTTCTCCTAATACTGTATGGTTGAGCAAAAATTACATACAAAAGAAGAATTTGTGCTTTGAGGAAAATGTGTTAGCCTGGTGGATGTCCAACATTCACATCAAGTTTTTGACTGTTAAGTCCAAGGCCGTTTTCAGGGCTCTGTTAGGTAAAATTTAATTTCCTGAAAAAAAAAAGTAATAATGTTCTTATCAGGGTCGGACATATACATATTGTTAAAGAATGATTAAGTGCTTGATGCCTGAGCTTTTATAGAAATGACCGCAAACACCATTAAGGCCAAATATAGTCTTTAATACAGTTAAGCATTTTAACATGTGCATAAAAAGGACAAGAAAGCAATCAATTTTAATTTTAAACCCTTAGATGTAGTTATTTATAGTATTCTGGGGAGCCTTAAAAAGTAAGGAAAGATGTTGTTAATTAGTATGAGACTAAGGAAAAGATCTTTCCAACCTGTTTTCTACCTGAAGACAGAGGGAAGCCTCCATCCTGAGTCTTAAATATACAAAGTGCATCAGAGAACAGATGAATTAGATGGCAACAGAGTTTGGGTATGAGTGCCATAAGTAACTGCATCTATGTGACTGGTAGGGTTCTGTATGAATCACTAAACGTTTTTAAGGTAGAAAGATTTTTCAAGTAAATGTTAAAACATAAAATCCTAGGAATATGATTTATTAATAGGAAATATTTTAATAACTAGATTTAATGACATAATTTATCTTAAAATCCAAGATAGTTTTGAGAATGAAAGGGTATACTGTAATATGTAAGGATAACATGTATGAACTGGGGCCTTCCTAGTCACATGGGGACCTATGGTAGTACCTCAACTTGTATTGAGTAATTTCTAGTAGTCTTGTATAGTGTATGTTTCACAGGAGTCTTAATTCATGTGTAATGTTTTTAAAAGTGTTTTCTTTTGTGATTAACTTCTCTCGTGGACAATATTTATGTTAGGCAACATAAGCATTTTGTAATTGACTTTAGTAAAGGATAATGCTGATGTTTTATGACTTTTGGAACCTATTTTCAAGATGGCAGTAAAAGATTATTACTTTTAGGAGCAGAAAGATAAGTATGGCAAAGTTGGTCATACTTTAGTGGATAGTTCTAAAGTTTTTCTTCATATAAACATTAGAAGTTTTTTTTAAAAAATTACTCTTTAGTTTATTTTTTTTTTCTAGAGGTGGTGGGCTCTTGAACTCCTGGGCTCAAGTGATCCACCTGTCTTGGCCTCCCAAAGTGCTGGGATTACAGAAGTGAGCTACCATGCCTGGGGCCTTTTAAAGAAATTTTTTTGCTTCCTTTGCCTTGTAAATCTTCTGATCCAGTGGTTCCCAGCCTTTTTGGCATCAGGGATTGGTTTCATGGAAGACAGTTTTTACATGGATGGCTGGTGAGGGGGTGGGGTGAGGATGGTTTTGGGAAGAAACGGTTCCGCCTCAGATCATCAGGCATTAGTTAGATTCTCATAAGGAGCTGGCACCCTAGAACCCTTGCATGCGCAGTTCACGGTAGGGTTTGAGCTCCTATGAGAATCTAATGCTACTGCTGATCTGACAGGAGGCAGAGCTCAGGTAGTAATGCCACTGATGAAAGGTGGCTGTAAATACAGAGGAACATTTGCTGGCTGCTCTGCCACTCACTTCTTGCTGTGTAGCCTGGCTCCTAACAGGTATCAGTCCATGGCCTGAGGTTGGAGATCCCTGTTCTAATTTATAGTATGTTTGACATTGTCATGAAATCTAATCCTGTTTTTGTTATACCTTTAGAATTTATAATTTCTTGTTGGATAATCCAGTGCTCTTTTCTTTCTTTAAAAGCATGTTACATGTCACATATGTTGATAAAGTTGGCAGTTTTGCCAAAACTTACTGAAAACAACTATTTTTCCTTGGTGAAATTATGTGTGGGAAAATAGAAATCTCCAGATGAGTATAATTTAATTGTTTTGTATAGTTTTCTTTTTAATTCTCTCCTGATATGTATTTATCTGATGTGGCAAATTATATTATTAAAGTCATAATTATATTGTACATTCTTAATTTTTAGTTTTTTGTGTTTAGAACATACACGATTTGTTAAGTTGAACCAGGTAACCAGAGAACCAGAGTGGCATATTTATATTTGAATGTGCATTAAAAAATTGGAAAAATTCTTGTGTAATCTTATTCATATGTATGATAACTTTTTCTTTGTTCAGAAGTGCCTATTATGGCTAACAAAAAAGGAAAGAACTATTCATATAGTCTCCCTCAAGTTAGTTACAGTATAAAGCAATTCCTGAAATACTTTACTATAATTCTAAGAGTAATAATATGTGTTATGTGTGAGCTCTGAGAGTAGCTTCTTTATAATTATGACAAGTAAAAGTACAGCCAAAGGTCATGGTAAACATAAGATTTCTTTCATACCTCATCCATTTTGTGGACAGCATATGAAGTAGTTTGGGTCCCTGCACTGATGTTTTAGTAGAGCAGTCAAGGTTGTTCTCATGGAAGTGTTTCAAATCTCTTTCTGCCTACCTCCCATGTTGCTGCAAAATTTGGCATGAATATGTAGTTGAATTCTGGACTAATTAAATAGATCCTTATTAAATTTAGAGTTGCAAACAAAATAGGGGACCGTGTTATACTTCAAGGATTTCTTAGGCTGTTACACAATAGTGATATATAGGAGCCTTTAATAATACTAAATACTATGGTGACTTGATGCAGTGTCTCAGTATTGACTATCTTAGTATCAGTATTGTTCACAGAAACAGTAAAAACCAAACAACATAGCAATAACAATAAAAACAATATCACACAAATTATGTAAACAGGACATGCCTGTAGATGTACAATCTATTGATTAGATCCTGTATTTGACTTTAATTTGGCTATCTAAATAGAAGTTAGAGTATTAACAAGGTCATATATAGGGAAGCCTTTTATTAAAAAATGAACAGCCAGAGGCTGTGGTTCACGTCTGTAGTCCGAGCACTCTGGGAGGCTGAGGCAGGAGGATCACTTGAGCCCAGGAGTTTGAGATCAACCTGAGCAACATAGGGAGAGCATATCTCTACACAGATAAAACTTTAAAAAATCAACTAAATGTGGTGGTCCCAGCTACTTGGGAGCTGAGGGAGGGAGGATTGCTTGAGCCTAGGAGATTGAGGCTGCAATGAGCCGTGATCACCCCACTGCACTTCAGCCTGGATGACGTAGCAAGACCCTGCCCCGCCGCCCCCCGCAAAAAAGAGAATATACGTATGTTAGAGTGATTGTATCATATCTCTTTAAGTCATCCACAGTACACAGTACCAAAAAATACATCTAAAGAAAGAACATTTAGATGAGGATAAAATTGTAAATTATAACTTTTAGTATGACTGATAAAAGTGTTTCCTTCATACTTTTTTCTATTGTTTTCACACCCTAGCATGCTTTTTCTTCCTGTAAGACTTCTAGAGTAACAGTTTTCAAATAAGGTTGGTGCTGCTCCATAAGGGAGTTTCACAAATTGGTGTGAGGTTTTCACTTGTCACCATGATTGTGAGAGTGTTTTTGTCATTTAATGGATGGGGACCAGATATGCTGGATGTTCTGCAGTGCAAGGGCCAGTCTCAGACTACAGATTCTCCTGAGTACCACATAACTTTTGAATGGCTATTTGACTAAACTCCATTCAAAGATAAATCAGTAATACTTCAGTGTATAAAAATATTGAAAAGTTTTTATAAAATGAGGAATCTGATAATTTAGGAGAAATTTGTGTGTGGGGGAAGCTTAAGTAAAATAAATCCTCAACATTAGTGTATAATTTACTTCATATATTCTTGCCAATTCCTAACTTACAGCATTTCTAAGTAGATATTTAGTTCAAAAATTTTCAGTTCAGTAATGTAGTTACTGAGAGCTGAACAACACATTGCAAATATATAGCAGGATTTTAAGACTTAACAACAAAGTTAATTTATAACGTGTGCATCTCATTAAATTTTATTAATTAACAGGGATTTAAAAATATTAAATGATTGCCATTTTAA